TGACTGAGGAAAGAGAGGAATTTGAAGGAGCACTGAGTTATGAAGATAGATGGGTGGTGAAATGGGTTTTCACAGTGGGGAGATGACTGGCGACGCTGGAGGGGCTGGGTGGCGAACAGAACACACCTTTAAATCTTGGCTCTCAGACGATGGAAGTTTAAGGGGAATGAGTGCGAGAGAGGAGAGAGCTCAGTGAGCCGGGGTGAGATTTGAAAATGAATTTTTTGGAGGGGATAAAGGGTCATTTATATGAAGGGCAATTTAGTATTTTCCTGTGTTTTTGGTATACGGTCGCCTGGGCCTGGTCATTGTGACCCCCTTTGTGAGGGGGCACCTCTTCTCCCGAAGTTATAGGGCTATTTTGCCGAGTTCCTTTTTCTCCTAAGGGTTGGAGCGGTCTGGTTCGGTCCAATTTTTACCTCACACTGGAATCAAAATCGGTATTATTCAACCTTTGCAGTTCGGTCTGATTTAGGTGAAAAAATTTATAAAACTAGCCGGTCCAATTTAAATCGGTATCGGTGTAGTTTCCAATTTTTCCAATATTTGCACCAAATTTTTTTTATATATTTTTCAAATTCTTTTTTTTATAAATAAATTCCAACTAAAATTTTGTTTTTTGAGCTTAAAAATTCACAAATGATTCAATTTCATACAAAAAAAAATGATTGGGCCTAAAAAAAAGGTGCTTTGAAGTTGGGCTTGGGAAAATATTAGTTCTAGGATTATAAATTTAGCATTCAACTTAAATAATTTTAAAATAAAAAAACACGCAGCTGGTCCGGTTTGATTTTGAAAATTGTAAACCGATCTGATTTGATGCCAATTTGTTGACTGTTTAGTCAACACGATTTTTTTCTAGTTTTTTCCATCTGATTTTTAGGTCTCAATGCCCACCCCTACTTTCTTCTCTACAGCTCTCCCTTTGTCTCATCTCTATAGTTACCAACAATTTTTTTTTTTTAATTCCATTGCATGTGTCTTCTGTTTCTTTTGTTTGACAAAAGATTTCCTTAGGAACTGGTGGGGAGGAGGCTTCTTTGTTTGCAATGGACATATTCAAATTTTAAGTTCGCATCAATACTTGTAAATTCTTGTACGTTTTGATTATAACTTCTTTTGAGGAAGCTAGTGCAGCAATCTCAGGAGCTGATGTTTATGGGAAACTTAAATTTGAGAGTGGGATTCATAGAATTCCTTCATGCTTGTTCAACGCATTACTTGTAGTTGCCTTTAGAAATTACTGACTCTTTCATTTTCGCAGCGTCAAATTTAACGCAACGCAACGTGAGATTTAGTCATTTTTAATCTTACCACCAATATACAACTTCTATTCAATCTTACTTCATGATGTTGGACGCGTACTCATCAAAGTGATCATGTTTGGCGAGGGTCTATAAAGCATCAGTTTACCGTATGTTCTTTTGATGGATTGGCTCTTGTTTTGACACCTCCATTTCTCTCTCTCTCTCTCTCTCAATGCGATTGCGATAGGGTTAGAGTTCATAACAATTACTGTTCATATTTTGTTTCTACCAAAAATCGTATTTTTGCCTAAAATGGACAAAATATGGCTAGACATGCATTGCTGCAATCAGATGGAGTGGGCCCAAAATTCAACTTCCAGCGCTCAAATCAAGTTTCATCCTTCACGAAATTGTTCATCTCTATGTCTACTGCAACATATCCAAATTTGGGATCATTTGGACAAATGTGAAATCCTAAGAGCTGAAAACACCAGATACACAGCTGTAAAAAGCTTATGTAGCAGCAATTCGGGCCTAATTTCAATACTCTAATGATTGTCTTTCTTCATGAATTTATTTTATTAGAATGTCTACTACAACATATCCGAATTTGGGATCATTTGGATAAATATGGGATCCTCGCAACATCAAATATCAGAAGCATACCAGCAACAACGAAAGCTAATAACAGTGGCAATTCGGGCCTAATTCTGGCCCAATTCAGGCTAGCTTCCAGTCCTCAAATGAACATTCGTTCTTCATGAAAGTTGTTCATTTGGATGTCTACTACAACATATCCGAATTTGGCATGATTTGCACAAGTATTGAATCTTTCGGGCATTAATCATGATTTCTGTTCGTGAGAGTAGTCTGTGACGACCAGTCAGGTGTTAAAACCAGATTTTCTATTGCTCAAAAGGAATTAAGTTCTTCATGAATATTGTTCCTACTTATGTGGAGAACAACATAACCGAAATTGGCAGCAATTGAATCAACCTAGCATTCCCAGTTTATTATGCATCAAGGCAAGTTCGGAGGAGAAACTCAATGGCTGCAAAACAAGTTTCACTTTATCAATGGAGGGACTTCATCAGAAGTGAGTTGATTCAAAGAAGAATAAAATAATGTTGTGGTAGATGGAAACAATTTAATATTATCAAAATAAAGCCAAAACTTAACACGTGAAAAGTTTACACCAAGGTTGAAAGAAGAATAAAATAATATGCAAGTGGGCTTAAAAGAATGAATAAAGAAAGAAGGAGAAATAATATGCAACCTCCATTCTCTATAAATTGAAGGAGAAATCATCAACAAAGACACACACAACTCAACCAACAAAAACCAAACTCAACGTCCATAAACCCAACTCAAAAGCTTGAAACAGCCTTCCTTTTTCATTCTTTGAATTCCCAGTTGACAACTCCGGAGTAACTTTCTTTATTTTGCTATGCCACCTCTTAGTATGATTTTTTCTTCGAATAGAGAAATCTTCAATCTCCATTTTAATTTTATGTACCAAGTATGAATAGAGAAATCTTCAGGTTGTGTTGTTTATGTATTTCCTTTTTCTTTCAAGTTGTCTAAATAGAGAAATATTCCAATAAACTTCTGTCATTTTCATTACCGTTCAATTTCAACTTCTGTCGGTTACCATTTTCGCACTAGATGAATATTGAAGTCCACTTAATTGAGGCACGTCTTCGTAATCGCAACAAACAAACTCCACGGCCAAACCCCATGTGAATGACCGGCGGGTCCTTTTCGGGGTAAACACATTTTTTTCCAAATTAAGGTTTAGGGTTTATGAAATTTGTCCTAATTTACACGAGTAGATAGATAACAATTAAACATGGCCTAGGTTATAGATTAATCTTATAGGCATATATTAAGGATTTAAAAGTGAAATTATCATAATTCCAAAAAAAAAAATGTTAAGAAATAAGATTGTTCATAAAATAAGGATAACATAGTAAATTAACAATTTTTTATATTTAAAACATTTTAAATAAAAACAACAAAATACTATAGTAGTCTTGTTTTCATGAGACACAACTAGATTCATTTTCTCTTTCTTAGTACTAAAATGAAATTAAAATTAAAAACAAAAGGAAAAGTTAATTTGACAGAAAATAATTGACTTCGATTATACAGAACCCAAGCGAGACTTAAGGGAGACCTCCATTGAGAGAGAGAGAGAGAGAGATAGGACTCGTGAAATGATGGTGTGGACCGTGGTGGACTAAAGTAGAATGCTTTGAACATGAAAAAGCTTGCCCGTGAATCTCACCTACCGTGTCGTTTCATTTATTGTCTTTTTCTTTATTTGCTAGCTTTGAAAACCACGTGTTTTAATAACTTATTATTATTTAACCTACCATTTTAACTTGTGTTATTTAAGAGAGGGTATGAGAAATCAACAGCTAGCTTATAAATGTTTTACAGGGTGTCTTTTTTTTTTAAATTTTTATTTACGGTATTTTTCTATCTAAACAAACATGGAGATAACATTATGAGGTGGTTTTTTTATTTATTTAATCATAGGGTTAGTTGGATTTTACCCCTTTGCAATGTCATACCTAATGTTATTCATTTGCTGCAATGGAAGACTTTCGTCACACAATCTGCAAATTATTTCATCGTATGATGATGCCGATGATGAATGAGGCCCAATCTCTGAGGCATGTGTGGCTGCTGGAGAGGATTGTGGTTGGAGTTGTGAGATATTGATGGGCAGGGTTGTTCCATTGATTTTAGAGGCTCTGGGTAGAAATTAAAATTTACGCCCTTCATGTTAAACATTTACTTCATTTTGAACAAAAATTAAAATAATAAGTTTTAAGCCTAAGTTCTAAGTTTGTTAGTTTATGTAAAAGAGGTCCGCTATATGAAAAATAAGGAAAAAGGCCCAATTTTTTAACACTAAAGCTCAAAAAGCATCAGTTGCATAAATAAATTTTTTGCTACTATAACTCTTGGGCTAAAAAGTTTTACAGGAGGTCCAATTTTTTTAAGGTCCCTATGTTGTCGTCCAATCCACACACCCTGTGAGTCGGGCATGTTGATAGGGATTAGAAGATGCGGCGAGGGGGTGGTTCCGGTGTTGGGGCTGGCAGTGGCAAACTTAGAATTTTACTTCTATGGTGCGGAATCCCATTACAATAATTCATAAAAACAAAAATGTTATATTACTATAACTCACACATAAAAATAAAAAGTAAATAAACCTACAAATGGAACTTCTAAGAGAAAATAGAAAAAAAAATAATTATATGCACACATATATATACATAATTGAACGAAATCATACATATTACCAAAGTTACATATACAAAACATGAAATAATTATTTCTTTGTACATGTCTCACCGCTAAGTTCTTCGATTTGTGCTGAATTTTAAAAAGGTGGTTTGTGAAAAAGATGTATTCTCTTCTGACAAAAAAAACACAAAAACACAAAAACACAAAAACAAATTTCGAATTCGTCTTTTACCTTATGAAGGCGATTGTCGTTTAGCGTATTGCTGGACGTGACAATAGGGTATTGGGCTTTCGCCACGTGAACGAAAGCTCAGTACAACAGTTACTAGTCCGGCTAATGTTGCAATCCGATTTGTGTTTCTCTTTCTTTCTTCGTCGTATCAAAACAGTTCCTTGTACGGCGCATTTTAATTCTTAAAATGGATTGGCTGTTCATTGGATTTCGATTGAATTCAATCAAATCCTACAAGTTTTCTCATATTTAATTATGGTCATATTTTCCTCGCTGGCTTTTTTTTGTCGCCTGGCTTCAATGATTATGATTTCTATAGGCTGTACCTGACGCATGCAATGATGCCAATCACAAGGCAAAGCAGCCAAAGCCAAGTGAGAATTATTAACCATCGATGATTTTTTGTGCTTTTCATGTGAACCCTGACGCGTAGAAAAACAAAAACCAGATAAATAAACCAAATTTCATCTCCTAAGTCATCTTCTGAGCCAAACTCAATCCCGAAAAAAAGAAGAAGCCATTTTTGAGTTTCTGGGCTCAAAGCAAATCATTAAAACATGGCTGAGGAGAGCAGAGAGGCGCTGCTGAAGAAGGTTTACTATGAGAACTGCCCTGGCTGTAAGGTTGAACAGCGTAAAGAGTTGCAAAGAGGGTTGCCCATTAAAATGCTTGTCGCTGTATGGCTTGTTGTTCTTTCAGCTGGTAAGCCCTTCTGTGATTTTATATAATATAATGTTGTTCTTGAGCAGAATCCAATTGGGTTGTCAGATTCTTGTTCATGGTGTTGTGTTTCACTTCCATTATTGTTCTTCTGCATGCTGTGGCATGTACGTATGATGAGGTTATAACTCATTGATTTGTGGGAGTTTCGATTACGAAAAGATGGATGCTCAGAAAGTTCACCACATTATTTGAAAGTAGTTTCAGTGTTTCATAGGAGAAACTAATCTTTAGAATTGATGTTTCTAGATTAAAAACTTGAAAAAGATATCAGGAATATGTTGTGTTTGTGTGAGTTTTATGTGCCTGATGCATTCAGATTGCTGCCAAGAATATATCTGCGGTTTTACAATAAGTTACTGGAGAATTTGAAATTAAAGTTACTGGAGTATAGATTCAATACTTCATACAAGACTTTCTGAATTTAATTGATTCAGGGCAATCAATTGTTCATATGTTACCATATAAGAGGGTAGCAAACTTGTATGCGGAATCGTGATCCGTTCTTATACTTTAATTGGTTTGTCATTTCTATGAATTATTTTTAATCTCCTCTGTAGAATAGTTGCTTTGTAAAATTGGTCTACTGTAGCACTGTCAGGTTTTTTATGATTTTGTACTTTGCTATGTCTTCTAATCTAATTCAAATGTTTTAACCCTGTTCTGTTGTTCTTGGTAATTTTCAGCACTGCCGATATCGTCTCTCTTTCCATTTCTTTACTTTATGGTGAGTGTATACTTTCTCAAGAGTGTTGTTACTTTACTTGTATTTCTAAAAAAATGTTCTGTAAGACAATAAAAAAATGTCTTCCCTTTGTTCACTTGTTGCCCTGCTTTCGCCCTTTGAATTCTACTTGATATTTCAAGATTCCAATAGAGAAGTTGGATTGACTATTCTTTGCAGATCAGGGATTTGCATATTGCTAAAAGAGAGGAAGACATTGGCTACTATGCGGGTTATGTAGGTGAGTCAGTTCTTACCTTTCTTAGAGATAAATTTAGTCATTCATCACATTTTAGTTTCTTGGCAAGTGTTCTTTACAAACTTCGTTATATTGTGAAGGGGCTTCATTTATGATTGGCAGAGTTTTGACATCAATTTTTTGGGGAGTGGTGGCTGATCGCTACGGTCGCAAACCTGTCATAATAATAGGGATTGCTGCAGTGTTAGTAACTTCTATTCTGCAATTGAGTTTCAGTTTCATACTTCGGCAATGAAGGTTTTCTGTTTGATTCAACATATTTATAAATTATTTTGAATAATTATTGGCTCAGGGTTATTTTCAACACTCTATTTGGACTCAGTGTAAATTTTTGGATGGCCATTTCTACACGCTTTCTTCTTGGATGTTTGAATGGTTTACTTGGACCGATAAAGGTATCATATTGTTCCATATATGATTATTAATCATGTATGTCAAGTCAAGTTTAGTTTACATGTATGATTTAACTGCATGACCAGGCATACGCAAGTGAAGCCTTTCGAGAAGAACACCAAGCTTTAGGCATGTCAACAGTAAGCTCACATTGTCCTCTTGTCTTCTACAACTTCTTATAAGTTTACTACATCATTTGAGATTTATAATCTGTTTTCAGGTTAGTGTGGCCTGGGGTATCGGATTGATCATTGGCCCAGCTTTGGGAGGCTTCTTGGCCCAGGTAATTCTACTTCTTGTACTTCTATTCTAGGAACTGTACTTCAGAGAATCTCTCGATGAATGTTTATTTGTCTTGCTAATTGTTTACTATGTCCTTTCGTGTGTACAAATTTTGATTCACTTGTTTTGTATTAAACATATTCCATGATGAAATCCGTTTAAGAAGAAGTTTACTGTGGAAAGTATTATCCTACATCAGAAAAGGAAGCTTTGCATTTGTAGTTTAAAAGATCTCGGGCCTCTCCACTGATTGCCAATTGGTTATGGTTAAATGCTCACATTCTAACATGGTCACAATCAAAATTACTTATGTACAACAGATTCAATTCAATAGTAATAACATCAGCTGTATAGAAGAGTAAAAGAAAAATAGCAAAAATACATGTACAGTTCAGAAATCACATCAGTTTCAGATTTTGAGAAAAGGATTCAGAAACGTAAATGAATACAAATCACAACTGAACCTGTTTTAATTCCACCTATTAAAACAATGACTCAGGTAGCAGAACCATGGAATCTTGGATTTGATAAAGAGGATATGCTTTTAGAAGTTTGAGGCGTATTAACCAAAAATAGAATCATCACTCGTTACAAGCTTATACCACAGAACAAACAGAGTTATTTAACTTAAGAAGGGTAAAGAAGATTAAAACGAAACTTCTCCAAGAATCTCAGCACATTAGTGTTGGAAAACACTCTAAAATCCATGTAGCCTAATTTCTGTTTTGGTTTGTTTTCTGCTGACAGGACCTTGAGAAAGCCAAAACTTGAGAAATGAAACTCCCACCTCCTGAGAAGGTGTGAGATGGTACCTAAGAGCATGAAATGAGTGTAGAGGAGATAGCAAGCACGAGGGTGTCACCGACACTTAGGAATTAATTTTAAGGCTTTTAGCAAGCATGAGGTGGACTAAGATCTGGAATTAATTCTAAGGACTGTCCATATAACTAACAAGAAACAAATGAAGTTCTTGAAATCCTGGGATTTGAACTGTTATTCCCAGTTTGCATATTATTAGACTTAACTTTAACACACATTAGCAAGAAGCAACATATTCTGTTCTGAATTAGTACAGGGGTTGGGTTTTCGAAGGTTGGTTCTTGAAAGAGTAGGTTAAATTAAAGAGTACAGATTAATGAAAATCATGAGGTAGCAGATGATTTAGTATTTTTTTTCTCGTTGATCTCTCTCTCTCTCTCTCTCATCCTTTTGTTTAATCAAATGTTTCTTTACAATGTTTTATGCAGCCAGCGGACAAGTATCCAAATATATTTTCCCAAAACTCCATATTTGGGAGGTAAGTTTGGCTAGTTGATTTAAGTATGCAGCAGTGAGATTGTCAAATTTCAGAATTTTTCTAATTATTTCTTTGTTGCACTATGATGTTCTAAAATCTGAAACTTTGATGTAGGTTTCCGTACTTCTTGCCTTGCCTATGTATATCGCTTTTTGCATTTGGAGTATGCATTGCTTCTTTCTGGCTTCCGGTACATATCTTAGTATATTCCTTTATGTTGTTGAATCTCTTTTGAAATGTTAAATATTGACCTATGTATTTTTTTCTCATGGTTGTTTTTGTACCTTCTCAACCCTACTTTGTCATCACTTAACCTCCATGAAATTCAGAATGCAGGCCGCCCTTACAGTCCTCCATTACATCTAAAGGCAGTTACAAAATGAACAATATTTGTAATCCAATATCCTTGGAAAGGAATTTATCATTATAATCATGTATCCTTGTAATCCTATATTTTATACTAGCTTTCTTAGCCTTAACTTTTTATTTTAATTTAACTTCTTGAGGCTCTCCCAAGAACAGAGAAACTAGTAATACTTAGGTCATCTTTAGCACATTCGTACGTTAAGGACCTTTCGATACTCCTAGTGTTGACAGAAAATTTCCATATCTGGTTGGTTGCAGGAAACTTTACACAAGCACAATGGAAATACTAGATTGCAAGATGATTCTTATGAAGCTCTAGAAACTGCATCCTATGGGTCTTTTGCAAATGAAGGAAAACAAAAAACTGAAGAACAGATACCTAAAGAAAACCTCTTCAAGAATTGGCCCTTAATGTCATCAATCATTGTTTATTGTGTTTACTCACTTCATGACATGGCTTATACAGAGGTAACTTCATACCTTTTACCTGTTGGAAAAGTACAGTATTGTTCACAGAATCGGTTTTTTTCCTCTGCTCTCTTTCTTTGAAATGGTTCTTCTCATTGGTTTTGGTAGATTAAAAGTGCTTGAATGGTTTAAGACATTTTGTACAATGCATTTCTTACTCCTTCACTTACTCATTTATTCTTCTTTCCCTGTCCCAATTCTTATTGATCTCTAATTACCAAAGTTGCTATTAAGAGAGACTTTTTTCTTTTGCCCAAAAAATCAGATATTTTCATTATGGGCCGTGAGTCCTCGAAAGCTTGGGGGTTTGAGCTTTTCAACTGAGAATGTTGGTGAAATTCTTGCAATTTCAGGTAAGATTCTAGGTCCGGGCATCTTTTTGGCCATTTTAAATTTAGATGAGTAGAGTTATCACTTCATAGTTTTGGTTTCTGTCACTGGTATCAGGGGTGCAGCCCTCTTCTTTCTTATGCATACATATATGTGCACATATATGATACGTCCACATGTACTATACATGATATATTAAGTTCACTCAAGGATAGAGCATTTGATACAGTTTCAATTTCTGACACATGCTCAATAATAGCTGACGATTTTATCAACTTGTAGGTTTTGGTCTTTTTGTGTTCCAAATCACCCTATACCCATTTGTGGAAAGGCTTCTTGGTCCTGTAATGATTGCTCGCATTGGAGGGGTAATTTTTCAGCTCCTGCTCCATTTGCTTTGTTGTAGCTTCTGCATTTTTTTTCATAAATGTCTTTCGACGTAATGCCTACTGACCTATACTGTTCTTTACCTTTGTTGTTGTTTTTTTCGGCACATGATTCTCATATGCAGATTATCACAATACCTCTGCTGTCAAGTTACCCGTTTATAGCAATGTTATCAGGGTTCTCCCTCTACCTGACGTTAAATATTGCATCTGTGCTGAAGAATATCTTATCTGTAAGTGCAGAAATGACTTTATATCTCATTTCAACTTACACACTTGCATGCATCCTTGCGTTACAAGGACTTGGTGAACTACTAGTCTACCATCATCTTGATACAGAATCTCATTAAAAACAAAACCAAACTACAACTTTGTCATCTTAACTGAAGAAAGTGAAAAATAACTATATCTACTCTACAGAAGCTCACCGATTTAGTAAAATAGTGGACCGATATGAATTGTCCTGATTGTATTGCTAGTGGTGACCATGTTCTCATCTTGACAATTGCCTGAATTATTTCTACAATTTTAAAAACTAGATATGCCACTTGCTTTAAGTAGACATAGGCATGGCTGATTCAAAGATCGCTTCTAAGAAACCATGTTATTTGAGAGTCAATGACAATGGCCAACTATGGGTCTACAAGGCTGAACAACCACATAATCGAAAACGATTTTCGTGCAGCCTGCTTACTTGTGTGTGTAGTAGGGTGCTCAAGAATCTTGTTTTCGTTTACTTTTAATGTTTTGTTACTAGATACTTAAGCATCTCAGGTTTTGTCCATTGTAAGGTGCTTCATATAGATAAAGGCTGTCTTTCTATGGTTTGTGCTCTAACTTTTGAAGTTTTTTTTGTACAATCAGATCACAATTGTAACTGGAATGTTCATTCTCCAAAACAAAGCTGTGGTAATTTTATTCTCAAATTAACTACTTAAAATTTTTCCCCTTCTCTAAGTCATGATATTCTTGCTCTTCAACTAGAGAATGTGCCATACCTTGACCATGATTTAACAACAGGACCAAAGACAAAGAGGTGCCGCGAATGGCATTTCTATGACGGCAATGTCTCTGTTCAAGGCAATTGGTCCAGCTGCTGGTGGTGCACTGTAAGTTTAGCTTATTCCAACTGGGAGCTGAAGTGATTTTGTTATATATATGATGTTTCTTGTTTCTGACTTATTACACAAAAAACACTACAGATTTAGCGTTTGCTATAGTTTCAAGGTTACTACAGATGAATTTTGAATAAATCAGAAAACACAAGCTTACAGCATTGCTTTCTTACATTGATATCTGCTTTGAAAATCATATCACATTTAAATTACATGATTTTGTAGTAATACATTGAAAAAAATTTCTTATTTTACGTTAATCATGATTTCGGCTCAACAGGTTTTCTTGGGCGCAAACACGTCTGGATGCTGCCATCCTACCTGGTATCATACTCAACCAAACTTTTCATCCTGGATTTTTGTTAGATAGTTTTGCTTACTTAGGCATTTGTTACAGTTATAAATTTTTACCATCATTACTTGGTGGCTCAAGAAGAGTAATAAATTAGGAGAAATCAAACACTTACAAGATGTTTTGACCTTTCTCTGTATATCCTAAGCTATATTGTTACATTACAATTTAGTTAGTTCATATTTATATTTTAGATCGAAATGAAACAAAAAAGAAAGAAATTAAAAGAAAAGGGAAGATGGTTTTTAGATGATGATAGGATAAGTACATGTTTTCTGAAACTGATATAATGCACAAGATGAAGAGTGGTAGCATCAGATATTTACCATTTCTAGGTCATAAACTGACCGAAGAAGAAAATAATAAAGTTAATGGAAGAGGGAAAAGAAAGAGTTCAAATTTCATTATTTTTTTTTTTCCAAGAAATTATTTATTTCTATTTTTTTTTTCTTCCAAATATTATATGTTTTCATTCATTGATTATGCATGTGGTTACGTTGGACTTCATTTAGTTCCTTCTCAATTTGCTTCAATATTTGTTTGGTATTTCATATTGTACCTTGTATCTCAAATTAAACCGATAATAATAGAATTATGCTTGGCTTTTGGAAGAAGAGGCGCAACTCCTCCTAAAATGAACATGTGGCTTAATTGTGCATTATTTTTCATTTTTTGGATAAGTGTCTATTTTCATTTGGCCACATGTTCATTTGAGGAGGAGTTCCTCGGCTTTCAGGAGCCTAGCTTTTTCCTCTAAATAATTGACCCTTCATACAAAATTAGTAATTACATAGCCAAATTTACTGACAGCTTGTAATGTAAAGCTTAGAAAGTTTACCACTTCCATATCGTTTTGCAGGTAGCCAGATGATTTTCTTCATCTTGAATGTGGTGGAGGCAATCGCTGTTCTGATGACATTCAAGCCGTTTCTCACTCTACGTCATGAATAGATAGAGATGAAAATGCAATATTATAGCATATTCCAAATACATCTGTAGCAACTCTATCCATTTGTTAGGGAGATATTTTCCTATTATTTCCCGCTATTCAAAGGAAAGAAAGAAATATGGGCATTTATGTTGTAGGGGATTGAATAATCTTTTTTGGAAAATATTTATAGCATATTACAAATTAAAATTCAGGGACAGTATCTGGTTGCAATTCAGAGATTGAAGACTATGCGATGCATCGTTGTGTTGTGTTTTCAGCTTGACGATTGTGCTCAACTATGTTGGAGAAATTATTGTATGGTACGCTTGGAATTGGAATTCTCATCAGGAATTAAATTTCACTTATGGAGGATTATTATATTTACTTCACATTAAGGAATTAAAAAGTAATTGGGGCCACACAAAATTAGGAATTGAATTCCTCATTTTCGAGGGAGTAATGCTACACTTACCACATTATTATCCCATATTTCTATACCACATGATATGACATGTTCATATCATATGCCACATCAATTAAATGAATGAAGTGTATTTTAATAAATAAAATTAGAAAAACAAAAACTAGTATTTTATATGATGTGGTATACACATCAGCTGCCACATCATGTGGTATAAAATTGTGGTATAAAAAATGTGGTAAGACTAGTATTATTCATGGGTGGAAGGTGGTATTTTAATTTCTGGAGAACTAACCCGTTAGGAATTCATCTTTTTTACTCATTATATCCTCACACAATTTTAAAAATTCCAAATTTGTCATTTACTTTAACCAAACAATGAGGACATTTTAGTATTTAGGACCACTCGTACTCCAATTCCATATGATTTAATAAACAACTTCAATAAGAATCTGGAATCTAATTCCTCACAATCCATATGATTTAGTAAACAACTTCAATATGAATCCAGAATCTAATTATCCTCAATTCAATTCCTCATAATATAATTACGGATTAATAAACATGTCATAAATGCGTTTAGATTTGGACATTCTTTCAGACCAAGGATTGTGTGGATTTGGAATGTGGGCCTTATATTGTTAATCCAAATTCATGGATCAGGCATCAGGCTTCGCCTTTGTTGCTTTTCGGCCTTCGCCTTGGGCTGCTTCATTACAGTATTTTGTTGGGCCGGAAACCAAAAGTGATGACGTCCAGCATAAATTGCGGACCACCAAATACAAAAGGTGTCGACAAATTGCGGACCCCATTCAGAAAGTTCTGATAAATTGAGGACCACCACGATATACAAAATGTTCTGATAAATTTTGGACCTCCAAATACAAAAAGATTTGATGTTGTTCAGTGAGGAAAAAAGAAATAAGATGGGAAAAACACGGAAATGGGATAAGGAAGAAGAAGAAGAAGGATGAAAGGCTGCAAGGTTGTGGTAGTGAGATTTTCAGGTGATGGGTGTGAAGTAGAAGAGAAACTAGAAAGATTTGTTATCCTGTCTTGTACCTAATGGACTTCAAAGGACTGCAACGGAGGGACATAGAGACTCAAGCTCAGTTCTAAGTGCGGTGTTAAATATCGGTGGTTCGGAAATATCAATGGGTTAAAAATAAGGAAACAATGTGACCTAGAAAATGTGTACTAATTGATAAAAAGAGAATTAAACACATCATAATCTTTTATTTATAATGATTTACTATGTTCTCAAGAATGATTACGTCTATTTCCCCCACTAGACATTGTACATGTTATTATTTTATTTAATAATTGAAAAATAGTTAATTATGTAGACCAGATTAATTTTTAAAGGACAATAAGTACTAAAAGATTTTAAAAAATAGCAGTAAAATTGGAGATTAAATAAGAGCACAAATAAAGTTACCTTAAGATAATAAGTAATTAATCAATAAAAAAATAAGCAACTAAAGATAATAATAAGTTAATAACAATTTTCTAGAGGATTAAAGAAGAACAGAAATAAAATTATATAGTCGAAATAATTAATTCATCTACAATGAATACTAAAAAATTAGACATAAACATTTCTTTGAGGGGGGCTGTGAATAATTCAAAAAACGGAATAGCATCTCATTCTGTAACAAAACATACATATCTTGAACCAATGTGTTGAACTTGATCTATCAAGATCAAGCCACAGAGAGTTTCACGACCTTACTTGGATGATACTCCTTATATAAATCTTAATATACTTGTTATTTTGGTAAAGAAAAGTTTATGGGAGGGATAACGGGACTAGAACTTAACCCTTACTAGCAAAGAGAACGTTACTTACCAACTCAACCAATTCACGTTATCAATCTTCATTTACTTTTATGTGTAATGGAAAGTGATCTTTTTTAGTATCAATTACATGGATACCGTCCAAAAATAAAATTACATAGATACCTTTATTCACTGTTTATTCTTGTTTTCACCTCAATCCTCTCTCCTTTTACTTTCCACCACCCATCCACAGTAACTCTTCAAAACACTCGCGAGTCATGACAATCTCTTCAGAATTAGATCTACACACAGCACGCAACAACAGAAAAGAAAACCCAAAACTAAAAGCCCCTTCTTCTTCTTCTCTCTCCTCTTCTCTCTTCTGCTGCTTCATGCGATTGAACTCAGTCCAATTACTCACCAATTAATGCCCCAAATTCAAGACCCTAATCTCCATCGCATTGGCAACTGCAAAATCCTAACTCCACCAATCATCAGCAGCAATGGAGCAGCTGAAGACCATAGGGCGAGAGCTTGCGATGGGTTCTCAAGGCGGCTTCGGCCAATCCAAGGAGTTCCTGGACCTCGTCAAGTCCATCGGCGAAGCTCGATCCAAGGCCGAAGAAGAGCGCATCGTCCTCCTCGAGATCGAAACCCTAAAACGACGTCTCTCCGAGCCTGAAATCCCCAAGCGCAAGATGAAGGAGTACATCATCCGCCTTGTCTACGTCGAAATGCTCGGCCACGACGGCTCCTTCGCCTACATCCACGCCGTCAAGATGACCCACGACGACAATCTCTTGCTTAAACGCACCGGTTACCTCGCCGTTTCGCTCTTCCTCAGCGACGATCACGATTTGATCATCTTGATCGTCAACACCATCCAGAAGGATCTCAAGTCTGACAATTACCTTGTCGTTTGTGCCGCCCTCAATGCCGTTTGCAAGCTCATCAACGACGAGACTGTGCCTGCCGTTTTGCCCCAGGTCGTGGACCTCCTGGCCCATCCCAAGGAGGCTGTCAGGAAGAAGGCCATCATGGCGCTTCACCGCTTTTATCAGAAATCGCCATCTTCTGTTTCGCATCTGGTCTCCAATTTCAGGAAGCGCCTTTGTGATAACGATCCGGGAGTCATGGGTGCCACGCTCTGCCCGTTGTTTGACCTCATTACAATCGATGTGAATTCTTATAAGGATTTGGTGGTCAGCTTTGTCAGCATTCTCAAACAGGTCGCCGAGCGCAGGTTGCCCAAGACCTACGATTACCATCAGTTGCCGGCGCCCTTTATTCAGGTTTTACTTACTTTTAATGAATTTGAGCTTATTATTAATGTGGGAAGTTTTTGGCAAGATAGAGTAATTGAAATAATGAGCTTTGTTTGTTTGTTGTAACGTAATGTAGTAACTGAATTAGTTTGATAATGCAGATTAGATTGTTGAAGATCTTGGCATTGTTGGGGAGTGGTGATAAGCAATCGAGTGAGAAGATGTATATGGTAGTCGGCGATATTTTTAGGAAGTGCGATTCTACCAGTAATATAGGAAATGCTGTACTTTATGAGTGTATTTGTTGCGTTTCTGCCATATATCCAAATCCTAAGTTGTTAGAACAGGCTGCTCAAGTCATCTCAAGATTTTTGAAGGTTTGAAGTTTATATATTTTTCAGTGTAATTTTCTGCAAATTATAATCTGCATGTAGATTTTTTGGAGAGTTAAACACCAATTCCTTGTTGTATATTTGGTCGACAGAGTGACAGTCATAATTTGAAATATATGGGCATCGATGCCCTTGGTCGACTTATAAAGATTAGTCCAGAGATAGCAGAGCAACACCAACTAGCCGTCATTGATTGCTTAGAGGTGAAAGAATTCTGTTGGGTTTGATGGATTGGTTTCAAATCATGCTTTAAACTTTTAATTTAGATGAAGTTTGATGCGCATGATGCAGGACCCAGATGATACTCTGAAGCGAAAAACATTTGAACTATTGTACAAGATGACCAAGTCCTCCAATGTGGAAGTGATTGTGGATCGTATGATTGATTACATGATTAGCATTAATGATAACCATTACAAAACATATATAGCTTCTAGATGTGTGGAGCTTGCGGAGCAATTTGCACCAAGTAATCAATGGTTTATCCAGGTAAGAGTAATTCATGTTGCCTTTTATATTCTAGTTATCATGGGAGTATTTTGTTATTGCTTATTAAACACCCGATGTCATCCATGCCTGATATTCCTTCTCTGCAGACCATGAATAAAGTCTTTGAACATGCGGGAGATTTGGTAAATGTCAAGGTGGCACATAACTTGATGAAGTTGATTGCTGAGGGATTTGGAGAGGATGATGATTCTGCAGATAGTCAGTTGAGATCATCTGCGGTATGTAACTTTAATTTTGCACCTTATGTTTATAACTGTTTTATTCAATGTCATTAAAAAGTTGCTATTTCAGTTATTATATGGTTAAAAATGTTATCGTATGCCCCCTAAATTTTTGTGCGATTTCAAAGGTTCCTGTTGAACTTTTGATCAATGTCTCCCTTAAATTTTTGGACTCCTCAAATAGTCCCATCCATTAACTTAGACCGTCAACAATTGATGGTAAAATCATGGACATATCATGTTAGGAGGATGAGTTGCCACGTCAAAGAATTTGACACATAACTTACAGGTGTCACTTGTTCTAGTTAGTTGTAAAATTTGTAAGTTACTCTCAAGCCATTTCATGCATATAACATTTGAAACCTCAGAGGTGGATTTTTCCTAGGGTTTTGGTTTACCGCATTGCGAATAGAAGCATTACTTATTACTGCTATGTTTGTTGTTTGTGATGAAAACATTTTGGTTTTGCAAAATTGCTAAGGCTTTTCATTCTTTGACATTGAGTTCAACAGTCCCTGATAAATTCAGCATAGGAGATATAATGCTGCATTCACCTTTTTATAGTACTGCTATTTGTGTAACATTTGAGGATTATATTTTAGTAGTATGTTTACAACATTTTGTGCATTGCT